GGATAACTTGCCCCCTTTTATGTGAAACCCAAGTTCAGGTATCCAAGTCAAGGTCCAAGAAGAGATCTCTGGATTGAATTTCACAAACCTTAAGGTTTGGAGCAATAAAATCTGACTGGTCAGGCATGATGTTCCATACCCTGAGGTGACTAAGAATATTCAGGCTCCCTAATTCTCGGGTTTGGGACATCAGGTGCTATTTGGCCCTTGTGTAACTACACAGCATTGTTCTAGCAAAGATAGATATTGCCCTGGAAATTATCTTTCATCATCTATGCAGCTCAAGGTTTTCAGTGGGGTTTGGGGAGCCATCAACCAAGAGACAATACAAGCTTAACCTTGGTTCTCTGACAGAGTGGAGCCAGCCCTCAAACTGCCATTCGACTTTGGGCCTCAGATACCATCTGTGGATGAAATGAGGGACAAGGAATGTTAGAAATAACCCTCTGAGAAAAAATATGGGAGAAAAGACCATTTTCCTTTTAAGTTACAGCTTGAGGTTTTCAAGGCTGAGGCACAAACCATTTTGAACAGCTGTTCTTTTCGAAAACATATGTTAGTTTATTCCACACATTCTGATGATACGAATGAGAAAGAATTCCAAATGCAGCTTATCTGTCACTTTTTTATTCAGTGACTGATCTTTTCTCTTTTTGCAACCAGTTATTTAGAATTTTCTAGTCCTCCTGGGCTGTAACTTTTTTTTCTTGCTGAATGTATTTTCCCTTGACTTTTCAAAGTAATGAATCTTGTCCTAGCCACACAAATTCACATTTTTGTTACAAAGATCAATATCCGACTTTTCTTCCTAATTCACTTGAAAAATGTCAAAAAATGCTCTTTTTGGAGCATAAAAGCTGAAAGTCGATCCTGGTGCTCTCTAGAGACTGGTAGAATCTCCATGGAGAGCAGATTGTCCTTCGAGTCAGTGCCCTAAGTAGGATAGTACCCTTTAGATATTTCAGTGGGAGAAAACAATTAACTAGAAGCTTAAAAACAACTGTAGATGAGAAGACAGACTAGCATCTGTGGAATCTAAGCTAAGGCAAACCTCATTTTTTGGTATTCCCCCCTCCCCAGCCCCTAGCAAACTACTCTTTGCAAGAGCAGTGGGAAGTTAAAACAGTTGGTTCCAGATTCTTCTCATTAACTGAGGATTCATAATACTCCAACCACTTCTGGCTCCTAGAATGACCTTGGAGAAATACTCCCCAAGACTATCTAATGGCGGCACCTGATTTCTTCAGGTGAGGTGGAATGTGTGCGCGGGTGGGTATGGAAGGAAGGAAGTGGATTGAAGCACAATCTGCTTAGGTATTCCACATCTTCTTATATAATTGATGAGACTGTCATTATGAACATACACAAATAGCTAAGCATGCAGAAGGGCCACCTTTATGTTAGCTGCTGAGTTTCAAAAACTGCTGAGTTACCTTTGCATATGATAATAATACCCCAGCTCAGCGATGGCTGAACCATTAGTTCAGCCTAAGAGGAAATGTCTGAAAGTGGAAAAGTATGCCCTTCATGATTCTATGCTCCCTGCTGAATCTGAATAGAAAAATCCTTCAAATATGAATACTTTTGTTCAGCACCTTTTCCACAATGAAATATCTTGCATCCTCTTCTATGTGAAAGCATTTACATGGAAAGCAAAAGAACGTGGGGGCAAAAGAGTCATGGGTCAATCTGGACTTCTTTTCTAGTGCTAGAACAGCTGACTAGTGGCATCTGGGGACAGAGCTCCACCAGGAATATCTAAAGCCCTTGTATTTAATATTACTGAAATACAAATATATGCAATTTCTGAAGACTGTAATAAGGATGCATACAACAGATTATCTCTATCCCAGATGCTATCTGGAGAATTTGGATAATGTAGTGTGGTATTTCAAAGGAAAGATCCTCCTACTGAAAGTTTCACACCAGCTTTTCAGGGAATAGACAACCTTCATCTGAATCATTCTTACAAGCTGAATTTTTATTTTCACTAAATTATCTATGTTAAAAAAAAATCTGTGCCTGGTGTGGAATTTCACTCCATCAAGTGTTACAATGACTTTTTCATTTTCGTTACAAGCAGGAGAATGAATGTAGGACAAGTGTTAGGAAACATGGCAATAAATTAGAATATAATTTACAAAAGCAAAAAAAAAGTAACAGTGTACCACATTAATACTGAGTATAAAATAATAAGCAACAACTAATCACAATAATACAAAGGTAATTTCATTCTGTATTATTAAGGATACCTATGTGACATTCACTCCAATAAAATTCCTAATGAAATGGACGGTTTGGGGAGTTATATGTATCTCAAGGGCTTTAATCAGTTGGGTAGATTTTACCTTTCCTTTTTGGCAGGATATTGTGCTGATGGCAGATACGGTTCTCAGCCATAGGGCACCAGTTTCCTTGGGTCTCTCTAAGTAGTCCGTATAGCACGCTACTTTCGGAGGGCCTGCCATGGTGGCTTAGCCTCCATTGACAATCCTATTGCTATTATTTAGGAAGAGAGCATCATGTAGCCACGTGGTTGACTACAGAGTAGCAGCGGTATTGTGATGTGCTGTAGAATATGATGTGTTCCCCCACTCAGGGGAAACCTTCTGTGCTTGGTTCCTTCTAGCAGAGTAATCCGATGCTGCGATGCTGCTCCTGGAAGCTCTCTACTCCTGGCCTTGGGACTGGTGCACACTCCTGAGGGAACACTAGCTGCCCCTTCTTCTAGGGCCAGTCAAGGTGGCCCAAGGCAACAGTCCTCATGATGTTAGTTTCCAGGTGAGGTGAAGAATAGACTCAAGTTAGTCAATTAAGAAATCTTTTTGGAATAAAACCATGAGCTGATATTTATATTTGGGGAAAGACAGGTCCTGATGGCAAACCTATGCCTAAAATGCCACAGAAACCACCCATCCTTTCTTTATTCCACCAGGGCACATTAGCACCAATTTAACCACTCTTTACGAGGGACCAAGTGAATTCAGCGCTGGGGGCGCGCTGCTCATGGGCTGCCTCCCCCCTCACTGAATAGATAGCACGCTGGCTGGTCTTCTAAGAGCAGTAGAGAGAGCAGCCCTGGCAATTTTTGGGTATCATCAGTAGCTTTCTCTGGAAAGCTCAGGGACATGAGCTGTGGTGTCGAGACAGAAAGCAGGTGAGAAAATATTGATGACCATGACTGAGTGTGCAGACAGCCCGTGCTGACTGTCCATAGCAAACCTGAAGGTTAGGTTGGTTTTTGAAGTCTGTGAGTCTCTTTTCCTTTCTGAAAAAACCTAATCATCTACATTAGGTCATGGTGTAGGTGAAACACCGGACATGTAGTATGAGAGCACAGTGATGGATTGAAGTTGAACATACTCTTTAACTGCAAGTAGCATCTTTACAAAGTAGCCATTTGGTTGGAGTTTGAGGTGTTCGTGTAGCATGGTGTACACATCGTGTAGGACACAAAGCACATTCATCAAGAACCTGCTGCAAGCTACAAGTGTTCAAGTACAAAATATATGTAAGTACCCTTTTCTTTTTTGCTTTCTTTTAATCTCGCTGTTGAATCTTTTGATGAGCATGACATGAAACTTGTGGATAGGGAAACTATGAGCTAGTCAATTTAATTTAGGATTCTGGATTTGATTCTAGAATTTGACTTGCCCAAGAAACTTGGTTTCACATTTAATTGCCATTCAGAGTATCCATAAAAAATACAAAATAGTTGGTTGAGTGACTATTAAAATTATGCTTTATGATCTCTAGGCTTCATGAGTTTTTCTTCTTTGGTTGTTATCCCTTGCCTACTTTAAAAACTCACAGAAATAGCACATTTATGTGCAAGCACACTCATCTACCCACACACTCAAAAGCGCCCGCTCACACACACACACTTGCTCTCATATAAATAAATGCCCTTCTGCCATATCAAAGAAGGGACATCTGGAACCCATCACAATTGTCAGCGAAAGGGTCTGCCTGGTTGTTGCCGAGCCAGTCTATCTTTTGCACGGCATCATTTCAGTAAGCTCAACATGCATGCAAAAATCCAACGGGGCAGAAGCTGTCCTGTGGCCGGTGAGGTTGTAAACACAACTGAGCTGGGGTGACTCACATAAGGACTCAGGCATCCTGTGTGATGGCAGCAAAGGGCCCGGTTCTTCAGTCTCTACCATACCCCAGGTCTGGCTTCTGCATGAAACTGAAATGTTTTTCTCTTAAAGTTTTAATGGAAATCTCAGCTTCACTTGCACAATGGCAAGTTGGCCCCAGTCTCTTAGCACAGAATTTATAGACTTGCACGGCCGCAGTAACTGATGCGCTGCCTTAAACTGAGTCCTTCCTTGTTGTTCGGTTTAATATAGTTTATATATGGCTCACAGCAGTGTTCAGAACAGGGGGATTAGTCCTAAGGAAATTAAGTGGAATGAAGAAAAATAATACAAACTTTCATTACTTTTGATTTATAATTGCTCCTTAAATTACAGTTAAAAGCCCGTTTTAGAATTTAAATTGTGGTGCTGTTGTATTGAGATAAAGTATAGTAAATATTTTTAAGCTATGACTTAAGATTTCTGAATCTTCTTTACTTCCATAGTTGACCAAGTCATAACAGCTACATTTTAAACGGTTTTAAATACAAATGGATTCAGTGTCATTGCTAAGTCCATAATAAAAATTATCTTAATGGTCCAAGGAGGTAAACAGGCTATTGGATTTACTCGAAAGAACACAAACGCTCCACAGTAAGCAAGTCTCCCTGTGTTGTTTGGATCTCTCCGATCTGGCATTCCCTCCTAATACTGTGTCCAGCACTTTGGATCAATAAATCCCACTTCACAGAAGTTAAAATAATATTGAAATCCTGTCAGCTAGGGCTGACCAGTGGTTACGTTTTCCACAGGGTAATGCATTTGCAAGGACATCAATCCTCTTCCTCTGGGTGGCTCTCTTTGATGGACGCATTTCCACGATGAAATGACAAGGCTCCCTCTCTGGCTCTCCACGGGTCAGTGTCCTTGGCAGGTCTTACAACACATCTGTCTGAAGTATGCTCGACTACAGAACTTGAACTTGAGCACCAGCGGGCAATACGCCACTTTGTTCACATCTTTGCACTCTAGCGAATGGGGGCAGAAAATGGAAAACAATTAGAGGCACATAAACAAGTGCAGAAACAGGCCAGTGAGGCTCCACGTTCATATCCAGCAAGGACCCCCTTGCACCAATCCACCTTGGCTTCCATGTCCATGTGGTTTTTGTTTTTGTTTTTAAGCATACCCTGTATGGTACAGCCTACCAGAAATATTCTTTGATATATTTTAACACAATTTTTTTAAAAAATGGTTGCAAGGCTTTTCTCCCAGACTTTTACAAGTATGGTGCATGCCCACTGTGTCTTGAAAGAATTACCATTTGTTGGGATAAGTGATCACTTTAGACAGCTTGGAAACATGAGTCATTTTTCTTACAGCGCTTTTATTGCTTCTTTCTCAAGGGTTATTTTATTCAGCAGTGCAAGGTTATCCAAAATCAAACATGAGTTGCATTGTTTGATACCAAAGTACACATGTCTCCAGAGAATCTGTGCATCTGTGAGGCGTGGGGATGGGCCTGGGTGAATGAAAAGGATTGCTGACAGTGGCCTAGATTCAGCAACTACACTAGACAAAGAGGAAAACTTGGAGGGGTTGGCCTCAAATGGCAGCAGTCTGTGGGTTATGGAAACATGTAGAAATGTCTTTTTTTAATTTGGAAGTGAGACATGGCCTTCTTTTTTCCTATGTGTATTTTCTCCTCAGTGCTAGAACTGCCACAGTTGAGGTCTGCAGTTCTTGCAGCCAGAAGGTGAATAAATGATTCTTTCTCCATCTCCCCTTGAGACTGGTTGCAGAAGATGGGGCGAAGGGGCCAGTGTAGAGAAGAGGACACTGGCCTTTGATCCTCAGCACCCCTCTCACCCCCACATAACCCCACTGCTGCTAATAATGATATTCTTCTGTAGTCCTCTGGTCACTTTTATCTGGGGATTTTAAAATACTTTGTAAACCTAGTAATTAAATTTCCATATGCCTCCCAGAATCAAAGTTCCACCCTCACTTTTCCAGGTGGTTATACTGAAGCATCCTGGGTAAATTACTGAAGGTAATTAGAATCAGGCAGAACAGTGGGTGAAATTCAGTGTAACAGGACAGTTGTGTTGTTGCTTGCTTGCTTGCTTGCTTGCTGGTTTATTTTCATGCTTTTTCCTGGCTTCAGAAATCCACTGAACTTGTAAGAAATCATATACATGGTACATAAGCCATAAGATAAACCTGAGAAGTGACATGCGAAGGAATGGGCAAGCTTTCAGTTCTTATTACTGAAAAGTTAGGTAATAATGTTAACGACCTCACGTTCCAGGCTCTTTCAGGGAAAGACTTAAATTTTATTTTATTTTATTTTATTTTATTTTATTTTATTTTATTTTTTTGTATTTATAATTCTGGTGGTTTATTGATGATACATATAGGTGTTTCATTTAATCATTATCAAGTTATAATTTTATCATTACACACAACTGATTGTTTTTAAAGTATCATGTATAGAAGACCCCTTAATCAAGGGGTAGAAGTGATATAGCTTCACCTCAAATCTATAATTGTACATACATGAATTAACCTTACATTGTTGGAATCTTCCTGGGGATGCCTAGTTCTACTAAACACTATTCTTGACAATGTAAGTATTGCTTTATATTAAAGACTTAAATTTTAAACTGGAGTCCTCAATCATCTGCAAACCTAAGCTCTGTACCATCAAACTCCCTTACTCATGATTTGACTAGCAAAGAGTAATAGTCAGAATTTTGAGTAGAACATTTCCACAGTAGGATTCTCAATACATTTAAGTTTTGGCTGAAAGAAGGGAAGAGAGACAAGAAAAAATTCTTTAAACTCTGCACTAAAAAAAAAAGTCAGATGATTTTTGATGAATCAAGAATGAATTTGAGATGAAAAGATCTCCACATATTTTAATTTGGAGGTCACTTTGTATTTTTTTTTCTTTTTCTCTCTGTCATGACCAGTAAAAAGCAATCAAAACAGGTTTAGACTAAGAATAATTGTGTAAAAAGAAAAAAAAAGTGTTATCCATGTTACTAAGAGCGAGATTTTGTCAAGGGTCAAGGTAACGCAATTATTAAAATGATGAGAAGGGTGCCTGAGTGGTTCAATAGGTTCAGTGTCTGGCTCTTGATTTTGGTTCAGGTCATAATCTCATGATTCATGGGTTCCAGCCCTGCACTGGGCTCTGCACTGAGCGTGGAGCCTGCTTGGGATTCTCTCTCTCTCTCTCTCTCTCTCTCTCTCTCTCCTCTCTCTGCCCCTTCCCTGTTCATGCATGCTCACTCTCTCTCTTTCTCTTAAAATAGATTTAAAATAAAATAAAATAAAATAAAATAAAATAAAATAAAATAAAATAAAATAAAGAGAAAAGCTAATACAGTACCACTCATCTTTAATCTAAATCGTCTTCATGAAGCATCGGGCCAGCAGAGACCACCCCCCTCACAATCTGCAGCAGCGCTTGGTGGGACAGCTTCAAGTACAAAGTAAATGTTAGCTTTGGTCTTCTTTGCCAAAATATAAAGATGATTTGGTTGACAGACAGATAGAGGAGGACTGGTTGCTTTAATAGTACAAGGAAATAAGATTAGGGGCTAGACGGTTCCGGTTTAATCCTAGTTTTGTCATTTACTGGCTTTACGACTCTGAACAAATAGCTCAGCTTCTCTGTGCTGGAGCTGCCCCATCTCTAAACAGGGATGATGAGAGTTCTCCCTTCCACATGTAACATGTACATCCTGTGATGCCACTCAGAGCAGTGCACAGGATATCAGCACTTGATAAGTGTAAGATAGTGACTTAACTATTTTTGTTACCACTGTTAGTTATTGCCTCTTATCACCTAATGACAGTAAGTTGCCCTCTGACTTTCTCAATGAGGATGCAATATTTTGATTACTAGTGAGAAGGTGCTGTCCTATTGACACAAGTCAGTATTTTCTGGGGTGCAATTTTATTGGGAGACTCATGACTCCATTTTTGGAAGAGTTGCTGCTGGTCCAGGAAAATTCTGAGATGAGCAAAATACAAGCAAATTCACAGATTCTTCTTTTAGATTTAGACTTGGGAATCTGATTATAAACAGCAGATAATAAATAATGAATAAAAAATATTCGTAAGTTGTTTCTCCCTCCAATCACCCCTCCATTCACCCATTTAGGCTATTACAAATCTAAGTCAGGATTCATCAACTTAAGTGGGTGCTTGAAATGAGGGGACTCTCCTCAGTATGCCAAGGCCCAGAGCGCAGTATTTGGCCAGGAGCAGGGTGGAGCCTCGGGGTAGGCTAAAAACTGGCTGTGGGGTATCCCTCTCTGAAATTTCCAATACCCCTCTCAAGTTTGTTGTCAATTAAGTTGATTCCATCCAGCTTGATTGAAAGCAGGAAGTCATGTGGGTCCTGGGAGCAGAACCAAGCTTAGGGAGGTAGTGACTCTTTAGGAGTGCACCAGACTCGCCTGCACCAGAAGTATAAGACAGTGGTGATGAGTGGCAGATCTGGAGTCGGCTGCGCCTGGGGGGTAAATTCTGGAGCTGCTACCTCCCAGTATTTGGTTGTCCTGGGCCAGGTTCCATCACCTCTCTAAGCCTCAGTTTCTTCATCTGTGAAGTAGAGACTGTGACAAGACCTGCTCACAGGATGTGGTGAGTGGGGCTCACATGGGTGCTTACAAAATGCATGGCCGTGGCACCGGCACAGAGGAAGCACTCAGCCTGTTAGCTCTGTTACAATTTTCACCAACACATCTGCCTCTGAGATCAACCACCATGTACTGTTTCTCTGGGATCCCTGTCAAAATGTGCATTAGGCTTTCAGGAAGGGTCACACACTGGCATGCATAAGCAAATTAACAAAAAGATATTAAACAGAGAGCAGGTAAATCATGATGAGAGAGATGGGGAAAAGCCAGAACTGGGGACTCCAAGGCTGGGACCTTGGGCCTTGATGAGACATTCAAGTGGAGACACTGGGGCTGTGTGAGGACACAGAGCCTGGAGTGTGGGGAGCTCTCCCAAAGGAGGGCCCCAGTGGAAGCTCCTGTTCCTACTTCTTGGTTTTGCCTTCTAAAGACTGCCTAGATAAGAAGAATCAGCCTTTGGACTCACGGAAATTATTTATCAGAGAAGGTAACCATAACTGGTCTTTCATTCTCTTAGTCTTTTAAAGCCACAAGCGCTTAATCCAATAAAAATCATCATGTTAAAAATAATGTATCACATGCCTCCTATGTACCAGGAAATGCCCGTGGTTTTATATATTTATATATTGAATGCTTTTATGTATAACAAAACATCAGGTTTATAGAGATGGCAAGACTGAAGCTCACAGAGGTTAGGACACCCATGTTGGTCACCCAGGTAGTCGGTTTAAGAGCTGGGGTTAGGATGCTCGGCATGAAACTGCAAAAAAATTTCTACCTTTAAGGCAGACCCTTGTCAACCCTTGGTGACATCATCATCAGAAACGCTTTGATCAGCATCATCATGCTCTGCCACCATGGAAAAAGGGGAATTTTTAACAAATATTTTATTTTTAAGCCATCTCTATACCCAGCCTGGGGCTCGAACTCACAACCCCCAAAACAAGAGTAGCATGTTCCACCAACTGGATCAAGTGAGGCCCCTGGAGAAGGGGACTTTTTTTTTTTTTTATTTTTTTTTATATTTATTTATTTTTGAGAAACAGAGTGACAAAGTGTGAGCGGGGGAGGGGCAGAGAGAGAGGGAGACACAGAATCTGAAGCAAGCTCCAGGCTCTGAGCTAACGGTCAGCACAGAGCCTGATGTGGGGCCTGAACCCACAAACTGTGAGATCATGACCTGAGCCGAAGTCAGACGCTCAACCGACTGAGCCACCCAGGCGCCCCGGGGACTTTTTTTTAAATGTTTATTTATTTTTGAGAGAGAGAGACAAACTGCGAGTAGGGCAGGGATAGAAAGGGAGGTTGACACAGAAACCAAAGCAGGCTTCAGTCTCTGAGCTGTCAGCACAGAGCCCTAAGCGAGGATAGAA